GGGTCTCGGGGGAGGGGGCAGAGTGAGGGTGGCATTGGGCACCAGAAATATAAGTGAACCGACGTCCCTTTGAATGTGCAGGTCTTGGTTCACTTGTTGTCGTCATTGAAAGGGCGGTGGCAACGTCAGTACCTTCGCGCGCGCCCAGGCCATTCTGGGTGAGCGCCTTCGCCGTTCGAGCAGTGGGCGTCTCCCCGACGTTCGTTGGCGTGGGATCCAGTGCCTGGCAGCGGAGAGGGGGGCGCAGGGACGTGGCGCGGGGGCGCGGAGTGGGCCGAGTAGGGGAGGGGGGCGGCGGCGCGTCCGCACGAAGGGCGGAGGAGCGCAAAAGGGGCGGGGCGGGGGCGGCATACCCGCCACGAGTTGGAGGGTGAGAAGGCTGCGCTACAAGGCGGCATATCCGCCACGAGGCGGCATATCCGCCACGATCTTTTTGTTCTCCCGAGGCCGCCCCGTTGGCCTGGAGAGTTGAAGAGTCGCAGCGCGAATTACTCGCCGCGCGCCCTGGCGGCGAGCTCCTTCTTGACCAGCTCCTCCGCCTCCGCGATGGCCCTGGCCTCGGAGCGATCGGGCGCACCGAGACAGCAGGGGGCGGAGGGGGCGTCGAGGCAGGGGCGAAAATGAAGAGAGCGCGGAGGAGGGCGTCGAGAAGGGCGTCGGTGAGAATCTGGCCTTGTCGGCCTCATCGCCCGCGATGTACTTCAGGCTGACGTTGCTGCCAGGGGCGCCGATCCTGCCGCTGCGGAACTGCACCTGAGGGGCGGAGCAACGATGAACAGTCGCCTGAAAGGCGGCGGCCGCGTAAACTGCGACCCCAGCGGAGCTGCTGGGAATCGCCGCGCGCGCCCGACGCCTCATCGGTGGGAGGTTCAACCCCGCTCGCCAAGTTGCGCGTGGTCTGCATCTCCCACCTCGGCTTCGCCCACTTGCGCTGCTTGTCCTTATCAGCCGCGCAGTCCGTCTTCTTGCCCGTGGGGAGCGGCGTCTTCTTCTTAGCCACGTTGCCCGTGGCGGGCGGCGTCGTCTTCTTTGCCGCGTTGTCCTTGCCAGGCGGCGTCGTCTCCTTAGCAGCATTGCCCGTGGCAGGCGTGGGGGCCTTCACCGCCTCGGCGTTCTTTTTCGCATTGGCCGCCTTCGTCCTCTTATCCATGGCCGCGACCATGGCCAGGGCCGCCTCCGTCGGGGTCTTCTTCAGAGAGCCTGCGGCGATGCCGACCTTCTCAGCCTTGGGCGGCGGCGTCACGGCGACGGTGCCGAAGTCGGAGTCGGAGTCGAGCTCGATCGGCAGCTCATGCTTCTTCTCCTTCTTCGCCGCGCGGCTCTTGCTGATCGAGGCCGCCTGGGCGGCGGCGGTGCTCAATAACGGCTGACAGTCGGCGGGTTTGCCGCCATCGTGTGCCGCCAGCTGCTGCGTCGACGGCGCGTCCGAACTCCCCGCCGCCATCGAAAGCTGCTGGTTCGAACCTGCTCGTTCTTGCAACGGCTCCTGCGGCTGCTGCGTCTGCGAGCGGTCGATCAGCTGGATGGCTGGGTTGGGCCAGCGGCCGCCGCTGCGCGAAAGCCCCACCTGAAATCAGGCGGATCACCGCCGAACGAAAATATTCCCCCCCCCCATCCCCCTAGGGGGATGGGGGGGGGGGAATATTTCACAACACGCCCTCCATCCAGGCATCCAGAAACGCACCCCGCGCCGATCCAGGAACCCACCCCTCGACCCAATACCAGGTGTCCCGCGGGGGAATGCGTTCTGTTATTCCCCGTGGGGCCGTCGGCCAGCGCCCAGAGAACGAACCGGCCGCCGCGATGGGGAGGTGCTGCTGAGGAGAGCCGCCGCCTGGGCCGTGGGATGGCTGCAGCCCGCCGCGGGCGGGCGCAGGCGCGGGCAGCGCGAGGTGGCCGCTATTCTTCCCTGCACGGAGATTAATCAGCTTCGCAATCGTCACCATCTCGACGGGATTTATCTGCGGCGCCGTCGCTCCAACACCTGGCGGGAAGGCGTCGGCGTACGTGATGGGGTACTGAGACTGGAGCCTCCCAGGCGTGATGGGGAGAGCCTGGATGCCATCCCTGGGCGGCGGCATCGTCGCCGCGAGATTCTTGAACGAGGATTTCACTGTGGCCAGATATGACTGCAACAACTCCCTCGCGATCTCGCCCGTCTCCACGCCTGTCTGCTTGCACGCCAGCAACAAGAATGCTGCCATATTGGCGGCCGCCGGGCAGCTCGGATGCCTCGAGCCGAGCGCCCCGAGGTGCTCTGAGAACGCCGCCATCTTGGCAGTGAAGCCCGAATGCGGCGAGAGCACGAACTCCCACAACTGAGGCGTCAGAAATTCAATGAACCCCTTGTAGTTTTAGAGCTTCCTCCCCTGCAGGCTGCCCGACTACAGAGCCTGCAAGAAGTCTCCCAGCTCGGACTGCGCCCACCCCGCGCCGCCGCCCAAAGCAGCAAACTGCGCACTCTGGAGCTGCGACCAGCGCTGGGACGCCGCCGCCTGGACGCAGGCAGGAAGGTGCTCCGTCGCGCTGCCGCGCGCTACGAACGCCGCCCGCGCCTCCTGCAGGCGGCCTCGAAGGACGCCCTCCATGGCAGCGATGCGGCGCGACCGCGCGCCGAGCGGAGCGCGCGACTCCCCGCGCGCGCACGCCGCCCGAAGCCCTCGGAGGAGGGCTCGCCAAAAACGGATCGAGCCAACGCGCGTGCGACGGACATATCCTACTCCTGCTCTTCCTGCTCCTCCTCCTCCTCCCCCTCCTCCTCCTCCTCCTCCTCCTCCCTCCCTTCCTACCTCCGCCTCCTCCTCCTCCTCCTCCCCTCCCCCTCCTCCTCTTCCTCCTCTTCCCTTCCTCCTCCTCCTGTGCGAGGGGGAGGGGGGGGGGGGGGGGGGGGGGGCGGAACGGGGTGAGTAAGTGTCCGAACGGGGATGGGGAGGGCCGCCGAAGGTGTGCGCTGGGGGAAGAAGAAGCTATGGGGGAGGGCGGGCGAAGGAGAGGCCAGGGAGGGGAGGGGGGGAAAGGGGTGGGCGGCTTGCCGCCGAGGGGGGTGGAGGGAGGCGGCGAAGGAAGCCGCCGATAGGGCGGGAGTTTTCCGCCATTAGGAGGAGAAGGCGGTTTGCCGCCAGAGGAGGAGAAGGCGGTTTGCCGCCAGAAGGGGTAGGCGGTTTGCCGCCAGAGGAGGAGAAGGCGGTTCGCCGCCAGAAGGGGTAGGCGGTTTGCCGCCAGAGGAGGAGAAAACGGTTTGCCGCCAGAAGGGCGGTTTGCCGCCACGGAGGGGGAGAAGGCGGATTGCCGCCATGGGGGGGGGGGGGGGGAGAAGGCGGTTTACCGCCGACGGAGGACGAGGCGACGGAGGAGAAGGCGGTGCGCCGCCGAAGGAAAGGGGGGATAAGGGAGGGCCGAAGACACATGGATAAACATGTTCCTCCTTCCCTCCCACCTCCCCGCGGGCATGCGCGCAGCCCGCAGCGCCGCGGCCGCGAGGTGCAGCAAAGTACCTGCGGCGCCTCGGTCCTGAACAACTGAACAACAACAACGGGAATTCAATGGATTCCAAAAACAATTAAGAATAAAAAATACGCAAATGATTAGCAACAACACGAATATGTTCAGCCCCATCGACTTAGCAGAGATATCTAACTTAGTATATTACTTACAACTACACTTACAAATACCATAAATATTGCATATGCACACATGAGATGCGCGATCAACAAGTGTACGTTCTATGGCTTATCTACGATTATGTAAGATGAACGCTCTTACCGCACTTACAGCCACCCGACGATCAAAGATAATTTCTGCTTCTGGCGCCCGGAAAGCCTCCCGGGCCGATTCCGGCGTGCTTCCGCTCTCCCGCTGCAGCGCTGGCGTAATTTCCGCGCTTCCGCTCGTTTCGACTCGTGCTCCCGCTGCAGCGCTGGCGTCATTTCCCGTGCCATGCCACGGCATGCAATGCAATGCTAAGTTGATACTACGCTTCGCGGTGCTCTTCTACGCCATGCCATGCCGTGCTCTACAATCCATCGCGCGCCCTTTCGGGATCACTGCCCTGCTCGCCATCCGACTGTGCGAGTAGTGAGGGGATCTGCGCCATGGTAAGGGATGGGAGGGAAGGGTAGGATGTCAGATATGACGCGAGCGCACCTAGCTTGTCCCCCTCCTCCTCCCCCCCCTCCTCCTCCTCCTCCTCCTCCTCCTCCTCCTCCTCCTCCTCGTCCTCCTCCTCCTCCTCCTCCTCCTCCTCCTCCTCCTCCTCCTCCTCCCTCCTCCTCCCCCTCCCCCTCCCCCTCCCTCTCCCCCCCCCCCCCTCCCCCTCCCCCTCCCCCTCCCCCTCCCCCTCCCCCTCCCCTCTCCCCTCCCTCCACGCCCCCTCCCCCTCCCCCTCCCCCATCCCCCTCCCCCCTGCCCCCTCCCCCCCTCCCCCTCCCATCCTCCCTCTCCCCTCCTCCTCGACTCCCCTCCTCCCTCCGTCCCTCCTCCTTTCCTCCCTCCTCCTCCTCCCTCCTCCCTCCTCCCTCCTCCATCCTCCCTCTCCCACCGTCCCTCCACCCTCGCCTCTGCCTCTGCCTCCCGCCTCTGCCTGTGCCTCTGCCTCTGCCTCTGCTCTGGCTCTGCCTCTGCAGCTGCATCTGCTCTGCCATCTCGGCTGCCTCTGCCTCTGCTCTGCCTCCCCCCTCTCCCTCTCCTTTCCCTCTCCCTCTCCCTCTCCCTCTCCCTCTCCCTCTCCCTCTCCATTTCCTCCTCCTCCTCCTCCTCCTCCTCCTCCTCCTCCTGCTGCTGCCGCGACCCCAGCGCCCATCCCACTTTGGAATGGGTGTCCACTGGGGTAGGCGTGTGGGGAACGTCCGACACCAGAGAATGCTCGCAGCGCCCAGAGGCCGGCTTCGGGCTCCGGGACCGTCAGAAAACCGCACAACGCAGGAAAACACGTGGAGCTCGGTAGCCGTCAACGGGCCCCGAGGCCGACGAAGAAGGGGGCAGCGCAAAAGGCGCATTCATGTGTACACTTCTCTTATCTCGCCGCGGGATCCACAGCCCCGAGATGGGGCGGAGAAGCGGAGAAGCGAGGGAGGAGGAGGAAGGGCGAGGAGGAAGCCAGGAGGAAGGGAAAGCCAGCCAGCAGCGGAGGCCCCCGACCAGGGGGGGAAAGGAAGGAAGGGGAGCCCAGGCGGACGGCGCAAGCCAGCGCGTCTCCTGGTTCAACCTTCAATCAAAGAACATGGAAATATTATATGTGTCATGGTATACCCTCATGGTGGGATGAGGTCACCCGCGCTCGCCAGGATGGCCACGTTGCCCCTGGCGAGCGCGCTCTGGAGCCGGCGCCAAGCCATCGAGATGCACTCACTCCGTTGAGCATCACCCAAACCATCGCCGAGGCTGCGGACAAGCGACACCAGGGATTCGCCAGGCCGGCCGAAGGTCTCGAAGCACGCCGGAACCAGGTTCAAGTGCGGGTATTTCCGGCGCTTGTAGCCCTCGTGGTGACGAACAAGCACACCCTCCTTGTCGCTCATGGCACTCGTGTCTGCCACTGTGCGGGGCGTCGGCGTGACGATGGCGACGTCTGCCCAGACCTGGTCTCCCCTGGCATCCCACCACATGATGTCGGGATGCTTGTCACCCTCCACTTGGCCGTCATGGGGCTCAATGTGGACCGGGGATGCGACCGTTTCCCGCAGCAGGGCAGCCAGCTCGTCCCGCACCCCATCATGTCGTACAGCGATGTGCCCGCCCACGCTGCACAACAGAGGATGAATGCCGGTAGCCTCCACATGGGCACCACAAGATCGCCCCTGCTGCCGGCTGACATGGCCGCACGAACCCGCCTGGATGAAGATGGGTAGATGCATGCGAAGCCGGACGGAGGTGACAAACTGCTGGTCTGTGAGCCTGTCGGCCGGTTTCTGCGGCACTTGCAGCCACTGCCCGGACCCGGGCCCCCCGGCAGAGTTGGTGACCAACAAATCCTGTCCCATCGCACCGCGTTGAATAGTCTGCAATGAGCGTGTCACGACGGACTCTCGGAGTTTGCCGGCCGCATTGGGCGATCATCAGGCAGTCTTGTAACGAAGTTGGCATGTCTGCGCCCATGGTGTCTAGATGGGCGACGGCAGAGCGAACCGCCGACAGCACTGTAGGCAGCTCTCGTGCCAGGTCCGCCCCGCTGGCAAATCGGGGGGATCGCTCTGCGGCAGCTTCCAGCTCCCGCGCCCAGTTGGCCAAGTACAACGCGGCAGCACCGTGCTTCACAGACTGGAGCCCAAAGCCTCCGGACCGCCAGGGCAAGAAGAACCGCTCCCGCACCGACACCTCGTGGGCTTCCACGCTCAGGATCTCCAGCTGCCCCTCGAACGAGGCTCGGTCGAGGCGCTCTGCTTGAGCATCGTCGACAACGAAATTCTCGCACGTGTAGTTTGCATCACCCGCGGAGGCATACCTGGCCAGTGCGCTGGCCGTCTGTGTGCTCAGGCCGTTCTCGCGCAGGCGCCGGAGCCTGTCGAGATGCCCGGCCCGCTCCTGGCACAGCTTGCGACAGATGCCTGCGGCGCTCGGAGCGCCTCTGCAGGCGAACTGGGCGGCGGGAGCGGCAGCTTCAACACCACCGGTGTGCCTGCGACGACGTCCACGCACACTGTCCCGAACTGTGGCGGGGCCTGCCCGCCGGCACAGACCCACGACTTGCCTCTAGCCAGGTTCATGGGCGGGCCCAGCGGGCGCAGCACCCCAGGGAGTTCGTCGAGCAATTCCCCTGTTTTGCTCGGGTCCACGAGGCAGTATACGTGTCGTCCTGCACGGCGAACGCCATCCCTTTCTCCTCGATGGCCTCGTGCAGCGGTGCGACCCCGACGGGGGCCAAGAGGGCCGAGATGGGGTCTCCCTGATCCACGCCATTGGTGGCGACGACCGCATGGGTGGCCCCGTCCGCCGCACGATAAACATGCGAGCGCGGGATGCGCAGCCATGGCGCTATCAGCGGCCACAGTCTCGGCACTCGGTGCTGCACCTCCTGCTCAAGACTCGCCAAATCCAGGTTGCCGTACATGTTCTCCATGTCGACGCCGACGAGGTCGAAGGATGGATTTTGCCCCCACGCCAGGAGAAGCTGAGCGCGGCATGCACTGCTTCCCCCGGGCCGGCCGGACCCGAACTGGCAGGGGCCCGCCGCCTCCCGGAACTCTGCAGCGCCCATAGAACACAAACCTTTCATCGCAGCCCGCCATTGTGCACTAGGAGGGGAAAGCGGTCTGATGTCGTTGTTCGGCTTCAGGAACGCATGGAGCCGACCACCGCGAAGCGTGCGTACCGCCTCATTGGGGGCATCCCCAGCCACCAGCATGACCAAGACCTCGCTATGACAGTGGAGGCCGCCCGGCACGGCCGTCATCAGCTTCAAATGTTCGTACAGTAAGCCATTCGCTCCTGGGCCTAGCATGCCAGGCAACTTGGGCACGACGGCCGCGATGTGTTCACGCAGCTCCGCACGCAAATCATATGGGATGGCAGGCGCCGGCGGGGCATCCGGAAGATCTGGCCGCCGCCTCGGAAATTTGGCCTCCAGCCGGTCGGCGACGTCCGGTCCGTGTGCGAAAGCTGCCTCTTTTGTCCCGATTGCGATGGCCTTCGAGATAGCTCCTCTCTCCGCCAATCGTCTGACTCTGCGCGCAACTCGGGACAATACAGCTGTCTCGCTCTGGGACGCGACTTCGCCATCGCGGGAGGCGCCCGAGCAGCTGTCGACTTCTTGCAGCAGCTCCCACCAAGCACCGCTCCAGAAGGCCCGGAGCCGCCTCCCCAGCAACTTATTCAAAGGTTCGTGGCCTTGGCCACGGCGACCGCCTCGAACCTGTTTGCGCGGCTGGGCAAGAAGCAGGCTGTCTGCCAGGCCAAACAGTTTCCACGCCCGGTCGCTGTGGACAGCGGTAACCTCATGATCCATAATGATGGTCTGATCTATGGCGTGTTTGGCCTCTGCCACTGCTGCGTAATGTACCTATGAGACGGCAACATGAGTTCACACGATCCCAATTGACATGATCCCAAACCTGCATGTTCTGGAGCCTCATCCGCAGCGGGCCGCATGTTCTCCCGGCAGCGTCAGGCTCCGCAGCAGCAACGACAGGTGCGGGCACACAACCATCGAGCCGACGAGATTGTTGGGCAGCGGCCAGGTCGCTGGACAACTCCTCCTGCCGGACCGGCGGCAAAGACTCCGAGTTCACCACGTTGTCCATCGTAACGTTGAACTCGCCAGTGCAAGCAGGATGCAACAATCGGGTATGTCGACTTCCCGCCCGTCGCAAACGCAAGACTCCTTCAGTCATGGGATCACAGCATACTGCACAAACTGCTGGCTTATGCCTCTTTGTCGCGATGTCCACTTCCCACTCGACGTGCCCGAGGTCGGCCAGAGCAGCGCCGGCCCCGACGCCAGGGATCTGCGTGGCCGCCCCTTCACGGCGTCGTCGCCGCCCATCCGGGCCGCCAGGTGGCCGGGCGGTGTCGGAGGAGGCAGCCATCGCGCCCGGCCCCCCCGCGGCCGCCCCCCGCGGCCGCCCTCCTCCTCCTCCTCCTCCTCCTCCTCCTCCTCCTCCTCCCCCTCCTCCCCCGCCTCCTCCGCCTTCTCCTCCTCCTCCTCCTCCTCCTCTTCTTCTTCTTCTTCTTCTTCTTCTTCGTC